GGTCAGTGGCAATGTCTCAAGATTTAGCAAAAATACACCTTTATTGAACATACAGTAACACAAATACTACAAATCCACATAACAAACAATAAAAAATGAAAAAGGGTCGCCACTTATTATTTTAAGAAAAAAAAAAAAAGTTAAAAAAATCAAAAGATCTTCTTTCTTTTTTTTTTGGCTGGCTGGCTCTCCCTAGCAGCGGCGCTCATATTTCAGCAGCGGCGCTGCGCCGCCACTATTTGTATATAGGGGAAACACTGCTGTTGCATATAATTAGTGGATGAATGTATGTGTTCAGTTGATAGGTTATAGACTTTCTACTGTTCTCAACTGTTTTTCACTTTAATTGGATAGTCCTAACACATGCCTACAAACGCTTAATGGAGAATGCCTACAATGCCTACTATGCTGATAGTCAACTCTAGATTAGTTGACGATCAACAGATAGTCAACTAAACTCTAAAGTTGCTTATCTGTTGATCATCAATTAATGCTTAATGTAACCTTTAGTTGACATCTTGACTCTCAACAGATTATCAACAGATAGTCGACATGACCCTGTTGACTTTCAACTGACAGATTGATTTTGAGTAGTTGATTGTCAATTTTGAAGATGTTGACACAATCTACAGATAGTAAGGTTGAATATCGGTTAATACGCTGTTGCAAAAAACATGTTGACAGTCAACAGACACTTTTTGTAAAATCTATAGATCAACACTTGAGATGTACCTTATCTTCTACTGGCAGTCAGTTGAATGCATGTCTGTTGAAACAGTGTTGTTGAATGTCAACTGATGACTTATAGAGTGTTAACTATGGACTATCAAAATAAAGTGTTACCAAATATATTGGCTTTATCATTTAGGAAGGATGCTTCCTTGAAATAAATGCAGCCTTGGTTAATATAATATAAAAATGTTTCCACTAAAGAGTTGGATGGAGCCGATACAGAGCATGTGATAAGGATAGATAAACACTACTTAAGGGGAAACAGGGTTTTCAAGGACTCAAGATTGAAGTGCAGATTTTCTGATCTTACATCAGAAGGCAAATTATCTCACAGTGTGCTAGTAATCATTCTACAATATTCCAAAAAGTGTTAAAAAATATATTTGACCTTTGAAAATAGATGTCGGTTGTGTTAATAGTTGGGAAAACACAACATAATTAATAAATTCTTTGAATAAAAAATGTAATCAGGCGAATACTTAACAATTTGTCTTGATAACAGTTGTTAGAGAACTTAAATACTTAATGACTTGGAGCACTGTCTTTAACTGCATTGTTTTTGATTGATGTTCAATTGTAGTTTCTACCATTGTCTTTAAGTCTCCATGATAATGATTGAATGAAATCAAAGAGTAAATATGTACCCAAAAAACAACCCAACACATGTGATCGACGAGATGAACCGAAGGAGGAGGAAGCTGTAATCATATTCGAATATTGGAGGTAGAAATATTCCTTTTTATCCTCAATGGACATTTTGAACTAACAATTGGTGGCATATCCATATTTACCTTAATACGAGAAGATGGATTTGAGTAATAGAGGGAACAAGGAGCTGATAAATTAGCCCATGTTTGAGTCTTGGCACCATAATGCAGAGTCAAACATAAGTACACAACTCATCCTTTCTTCAACAACACCACAGCGGCTCTTTAAAGGCAGCGCTAAACTCCTTGAGTCAATGTTTGATTACAGCATAAGACATCATGCTCTGCCTCTTTAGAAAATGATCTCACATGTTGGGAGCGTTTAAAGGAAGGTGTTCTGAGGCAGGAGGGTGAGAATAGAAGGAAGAAATGTGACCTTCAGCCTGGACTGAACTATTTTAAAAGACGACCAGCCGTGGGGGAAATACACTCAGTCTGGTCTTTTTCTCATAGACGCATTTCAATGGTTCGCTAAATGAGAACTAATATACTTTTTCCACAAAGTAAGGCACCTAAATGACAGTCTCCTTGGTGACCCTGAATGCAATGACGGAGGAGCGGAGATATTCAATGCCACAGATATAGAGGGAGAGGGAGAGGGAGGAATTCATGGCTCAAATGACGCAAATGTCAGCACTTCCACACGAACAGCTGAAGAGTCTTGAAGATGACGAACAGGCAACAGGCCGGTCGTTCCTCTTCAGTTCAACAGATCTTTCTATATCTCTCTAGCCACGGACATTTGAAGTTTTGACACCAAAAGTGTAGAAAAAACGCGGAAATATTCAACATTAAGAGTCATAGATTATTTGGCTTGGCATTAGTTGTCTTTATGCCCCTTCTGCTGCTTTTATTTTTCATATTTTTCAAACTTCAATTTCATAAATACGTAGATGCACTTAAATGGTATTATTCAACAGACCTCTCGACTTCTCTCTAGCCACGGACATTTCAAGTTTTGTCGCCAAAAGTGTAGAAAATACGCGGAAATATTCAACATTAAGAGTCATAGATTATTAAGTTGTCTTTATGCCCCTTCTGCTCCTTTTCTTTCCCTCTTGTTCCAAGTTTTTCATATTTTACAAACTTCAATTTCATAAATACATCGATGCACTTAAATGGCATTATTCAACAGACCTCTCGACTTCTCTCTAGCCATGGACATTTGAAGTTTTGACACTTTTGACAAAATTCTTCTTCCCTGAGGCTTTTTTAAAATGTCATTATGAAAAGCCTCTGCATTGCCTTTTACAAAACATTTTTAGAATATTGTTGGGGATGGAAAATCAAACCAAATCATTAAAGAGTCATAGATTATTTGGTTTGGCATTAGTTGTGTTGAAGCCCCTTCTGCTCCTTCTCTTTCCCTACCATACATTGATGCCCTTGAGTTTAAATGGCATTATTCAACAGGCCTCTTTACTTCTCTCTAGCCACGGATATTTGAAGTTTTGTCCCCAAAAGTGTAGAAAGAAATTGGAAATATTTAACATTAAAGAGACATAGATTATCAAGTTGTTTTGCAGCCCCGTCTGCTCCTTTTCTTTCCCTCTTGTTCCAAGTTTTTCATATTTTACAAACTTTAATTTCATAAATACATCGATGCACTTGTCTCTCCAAATTTATATTTAAATGTACAATGGTTTCTTCCTTTGTGTTGATGATGTTATGACTATAAGACACCATCTAATTGCTTGCAGCTTGGGAAGCTGTGAAGATTTGAATAATGTGTTTTCACAGTAAAACCGGCAAAAGTGCAGCTTGACTTTTTATTGAAATTGCACTTATTGGTAGATTTGCACTTTGCTTTAGTCCCCAAATCTTCTTACAAACTCTATATAATAATAATATAATCATAATAATGATGCATTACATTTTGATTAGAGCTTTACAACTACACATGACACATATTAGACATCATGGACCAGGGGGGCCCAATACGTCGATCGCAAAGGTAGTGTGCGGATCACCCATCACCTGATCAAGTTCGATGCCGCCTATCACAGTGCGCTGAGATTTGTTACTAACTGTAAAGCACTTACTCATCACTGTACCCTGTCTGCCTTCACTAACTGTACGGAGGCTCAGTCACTGGTACATGTTTATCTATAAAGCCATGTTGGGTAAACTACCAACTTATATATGCTCTCTGAGCATATATAGAGAGTCACAGAGAGTGACAAGTAGCTATTGCTTGAGATCCCAGGATGTGTTTTCATTACATGNTGATCAAGTTCGATGCCGCCTGTCACAGTGCGCTGAGATTTGTTACTAACTGTAAAGCACTCACTCATCACTGTACCCTGTATACCAGGGCAGGTCCGCCTTCACTAACTGTACGGAGGCTCAGTCATTGGTACATGTTCATCTATAAATCCATGTTGGGTAAACTACCAACTTATATCTGCTCTCTGATCTCACAGAGAGTGGCAAGTAGCTATTGCCTGAGATCCCAGGATGTGTTTTCATTACATGCGCCAAGTGCTAGGACTGTTTTAGGTAAGAAAGCTTTTATGTGTGCTGATCCTCTGGAATACTATGCATTTTTTTTTTTAACTGAACATTTTGGTTCCCCTGCATCATTTTAAAGCTTGGATAGATGAAATGTTATTTGATACCTGTCATTGTGAATAGGTTGTAATTTATACCCCTGTATTTATGTTGTATGATGTCCTTTTTGTTTTCTGTTGTTTGTATGTGTAACCAATGTGCTGCAGGTCTCCCTTGAAAAAGAGATCGTTGCTCTCAATGGGATTTCACCTGGTTAAATAAAGACTACAAACAAACAAGATGTGGGATACGTTCATGGCTTTGAAAGAAAAAATAAGTTAAAAAAAAAAATTAAAATAACCATCCATCCTTACTATGGCATTTGCCACTTGATTGACGTACAGGTAAGCCAGTCTGAGATCTCGGCCGTTTCTCAATGTCGAGTATACCTGCTGCAGAGCCACTATTTCAAGTATACTACGTCATCGAGTGGCGCCGAAGGACTGTTTAAATGCATGTTAAATGCCCAGGATTCGGCGCCACTCCATGACGTAGTATACTTGAAATAGTGGCTACATTATCATCAGTAGCTACTATGATGTTCTCGGAAACTCTTTAAATAAAAAAAACTGCTGTGTTTGTTCAGAACATTCAGTTTTGTTTCTGAAGAGTTGCTCCTTACCTGCTAATGATCAAACTGTGGACTCCATACTTGTTTTCAATCTTGTACTTTCCTGGGGCGCTCAGTGGGTCGACGGGCGCTCCTCCTTTATACCTGCAGACAGAAAGTGTTTTACTTTTTACAAATCTACACACTGTCACGGTAAACTGTTAAAATCAGAATTTGTCTGGGAGAGAAATAACTTCATGATGGTCCACCTGACAATAAAGAGGGACATGTTGTGTTTTTAAATAGCAGCAGGTATTTACAACGTGATGACAACTGGGAAGGTATGCTGCACATTGTTGGTTGGTATAAAAAGGATTAAAGGAATGCTAACCATGCTAACAAACGCTAACAATGCTAACAAACCTTTTTTGGGGGAGGATAAAAGCATTAATACTGTATGTCATCCAAGCCTCACATAAAACATCTTAACTAGAGCCTATATATAAAGATATACATGTATACAACAACGTGGTATAGATTTAAGATGGCACCAAAACCATCGCGTGTAAAACATGCTAATTCTGTTAGCTTACAGTAAGTAGCTTGGTTTGTAGGCTATGTGTAAATTGGTCTTTGGCAGTAACATTTTAAAGATTTAAAGAAATGTCATGAACTAGAGTTACCTTACTGATTAAACTTGGATAGCTGTTGGGGAAATAGGGAATGTACTCTTCCAATATGAGAGTAACATGATAACAAAGATATCCAAACTGTAGCTGTGTACATGACAGGATCAACCTGATCTCACCAGAATGCGTGACTCCACCACGACTCCTTAACACCGCATTGCGTGGTGGAGTCACAAACTTTGCTACATTTACGTGTCTGCACCACGCAAACAACCCCAATGTAAAGTGAATGAGGCTCCTTTGTCATGGTGCACACACGCATTTCTTCAACGTCCAGCAGTGAGCTTTTATTCTATAAAACGTTTTTTAAACCTACTTTATAGCTTGTAGTAACTCACGAGAGGCTTCTTTTATTTTATTTGTATTCATAATAATTTGTATTTTTCGTCAGAATGTATTATGGCAACCCTGTCTCCTAAAAATTATGTTCCCACAGAACTAAACTGCATTCTCAATTACGTTTAACTAGAAACGTATTTTCTCCCACGTTACGTTCGTTATGAACGTATCTCAAATTCGTTTATTTTCTACATATCTTCTAGAAACATATTTTCTCCCACGTTATCTTAAATACGTTTATTTTCTGCATATCTTTGCCATGTATTGTCTTGCTTATAATAATGATAATAGTCATTTATAAATATCATTTTAGAGCACACATTTGAAATCAGGCGAGGCTGTAATTTCGCCAGCTGTTACTCTCATGAGCGAGGCAGAAAATAATAGTTTTAACATGCCAAAAAGCTGCTGTGTCGTTTATTGCACCTCAAACATTAAATAATGCTTTCTATTCCTCCATCTTGTGACTGTGTAACTCCCTTTCTTGTATATCAGCATGTGAAGGACACTGTTCAGGAACTAGTTGATGCTCTGTATGTGATGACTACTTCCATTCTGGAGAGGATCACAAATACATGGATCCTGAGATTGAAGCTCAAGCCAGTGATATTTGTCTAACACAAAACATGCAACCCAGTCTCACGGCATTTTGTGTTATAGTCATGAAATTAATTTAATCTATTGATTCTTGTTCACCAACACGATTTCCCCCTTTTTTTCGTGTCACACAGAAGGATTTTAAAAGCAATGTATTTGTATTGGTCGTGCCTGCACCACGTCTTTTTGTCCGGTCGGGTCTTGGAAGACCAGAAGCTGTGTGGTTCATAAAAACATTGTCTTACTCAATATCTTACCCTAAGCCTAACCCTATCCCTTTTATTTTAAATTGTATAATGTCGGAGTTTTTCTGCCGTCCGCGAGGTAAATAAATGGCTCAGAGCCTCTGAATACTGACATCTGTATTCTTTGTCATCTTTTTTTCCTTCTAATTTGTTATTATTTGGTGCAGGCACGAAACATACTACCAATAGAAATACATTGCTTCTAAAATCGTTCTGTGTCAGAATACTGAAATCNTTGCCAGTAGTGTCAGGAATGTCGTTGTCAGTAGTGTCAGGAACTGTCGCCAGACAAGTGACTAATTGTGCACAAGTGTACAAGCCTTAACTGGTTAGTCTTGGGAAATAATTTTCGGAGGTATAACAAAATACCACTTGACACCCGCCACCTTTTTTTACAAGCACTAAGATTTCACCCGGGACTCAACTTTTTCCAACCCTTGACGACGACATCTGTCATCATTTTATGCAACCCCCCACGATCACCTAATGAAGTCAAAGTTTTTACAGATACGTTTGCAATAATAATTATATTTAAGTTTTTTTTAATTTTAGTTTTTTAATTAGTTTTTAAGATTTAAATTGATATTTTTTTGAGTGTCCCTCTTTTGACATTCTTTAAGAGACTTTAATCTCAGTGTATAATACGAAAATGTGAAGTATAGTACTCTCCGTTCCTTTTGATTTTGAACTGGACTCTAATTAGGATGGTGCTCCTTCTTCTATTGTGATGTTGAGGGTACTACGGTGTGACGGGTTGGTGGTTTTGGTTTTCGTAAAATGACAGACATAATGCACTCTCACATTTATTTTTACGTCTACTTTCGTTATCACAAAAAAAAATGTAGAAAACAACAACAACACTTCGTCGACTACTACTGTATGTACGGTGAGTACGACTCCGTGTCTATTAGGTTGTTTAAATAGTTTTTGTTTGGTAAGGACCTTCGTTGCTCTAAAGGGACAAAAGTAAAAACCTCACCAACTTCAAATAATCCTCCCTGAACCAAAGCTTTCTGAAGGTCGCCTTAGGAATACTAAACTGGCTTACCTCTTAGGAGAGAGAGTTACATTTACAGATTAAGATAAGAGGTCGGTAGAGTAAGGAGAAGGACAAGACGGAGAGGAGGATCGCATTCTACAAAGGAGGACGCTCCGGTGATGACCGTTGCTAAATGTTTCCACACAAATCATAATGTTTTGCAAAAGAAAAAATTATTTGGCGGTCCACTTGCAATGCCTTCGCGGACCACTAGGGGGCCTCGGCCCACAGGTTGGGAACCGCTGGCCTTCAGGAAATGCAGCGTCTTTTTATCCAGACAGGGGATGGAAATAAAGCCACCAGCAGGACTGGTATCGGGAACATAAATTGAACCAGTGCAGTGTTTTAAAAAGCATATAATTAAGCAAAATAGGAGTTTGTGATGATGTGAATATGATCCCTGTTTGTTCGTACAGTCACATGCTAGTCATGCTTCTATCAGCGGACCTTTAAGAGTCACCAACACCCAAAACTCCCCAAAATACCCCCCCCCTCTGCCATGTGCCGATCCTTGTGATGTGCTGTGTTTATGTTTGTGCATCTCAACCAGAATACTAGGCAGAAGGGAGTAAAGGGGGCGAGGAAGAGATATAACGTTGTTTTTTTAGGTAACACTTTATTTTGTGTTTGTGATCAGTTGTGCAAAACATTTCGCTTTATTCCCTGGTCTGTTGCACATAATTAGTGGATGACTGTATGTGTTCTGTTGATAGGTTATAGACTTTCTACTGCTCTCAACTGTTTTTCACTTGAATTGGATAGTCCTCCTAACACATGCTTAGTGGAGAATGCCTACTATGCTGATAGTCAACTCTAGATTAGTTGACGATCAACAGATAGTCAACTAAACTCTAAAGTTGCTTATCTGTTGATCATCAACTAATGCTTAATGTAATATTCAACTGAAATTTAGTTGCTTATCTGTTGANGAAGGATTTTAAAAGCAATGTATTTGTATTGGTCGTGCCTGCACCACGTCTTTTTGTCCGGTCGGGTCTTGGAAGACCAGAAGCTGTGTGGTTCATAAAAACATTGTCTTACTCAATATCTTACCCTAAGCCTAACCCTATCCCTTTTATTTTAAATTGTATAATATCTGAGTTTTTTAACCGTCCGCGAGGTAAATAAATGGCTCAGAGCCTCTGAATACTGACATCTGTATTCTTTGTCATCTTTTTTTCCTTCTAATTTGTTATTATTTGGTGCAGGCACGAAACATACTACCAATAGAAATACATTGCTTCTAAAATCGTTCTGTGTCAGAATACTGAAATCAGTTTTCCTTCTAATTTGTTATTATTTACGTTGCTTTGAAAATCGTTCTGTGTGACACGAAAACAATTGCGAAATCGTGTTGGTGAACACGAATCAATAGATTAATTTTGTGACTATTCACGAAATGCCGTGAGACTGTGTTGGTACATGCTTTAAATTTGCCGTCTCTAAACTGGGTTGAACACATTCCAGTGAAATGTGATTTTTCTGACCATTTGACGACGGGCCTGGGGGTTCCCTCCACGGTACAGAACAGTTTGACGGGGGTCTTCTCCCACACGGTGTGCGGTCGAAGAGCCACCAGGAAGTCCGGCATCTTCGGGTTTTCTGATGGAATCACCTTCTTGTACATCATTTCCTTAACCTGGAGAGAGAGCAAAGTGGGTCAATCGAATGTATGTAGCACAGAGAAAATAAGACTTCATCTTAAATCTCGTATTTGCCAACATCAAAATGTACCAGATGACATAACTATCAACAAATCTAACACAATCAAAATAGTCCTTCCATCACAGCAGCTCAATTTGCAACATCGTAAAATACATATATTTGAAGGCAAGAAACAGGAAAACACACATTTGACCGACCATTATAATTGCAAGTACATTATATATCTGATTTAACTCTGTGTTTATTTTGTGTCTAACTAAATTGAATTGTGGGACCCTGTATCTCTGATTTAATGATGAAACATGTATATTTTCATTTCGGGACACGACTGGGCTCAGAGATGATGTTGTTGGCCAGCCTCATTGGTTCCATATAAATAACCAAACACTGATTAAACCCCTCCAGACGCCTCACCTCTCTCTGCAGGTTCAGACTCTCCACCTGGGCCTTGGTGGCCATCCTCATCCTGTGGAGCTCCTCCTGGATCACCGTCAGTCCTTTCTCAACATTCGTGCTCACTCTCTGGTACTCCTCCGTTCCATCTTCTGCACTCCTGCACACACAACTCACATTAATACAGTTTTACACAGGAAACCAACTCCAAATATATAATGAAACATGCTCCACTCGACAACAGAATGATATGTGGGGTGTAATCGAAGAGAAGCAGATATTTAGAAGGCAATTGAAGTTTTAAAATGATTGTTTAAAATAGTTCAAGAACAAGCACAAAACTTCCTCACAGCTTTTTTTATCCCAGCATAATATGAAACATCCTAACTAAACAGGAAATATGAATGCACAACATCTAAAAACAGAGGAAACACAAGAAGATGTAGCTCTTCTTGTATGATATGTTCGTGATTGCACTTGGTTGTTGTAGTTAAATTAACCATTAAATGTGTTTCTGCTCATTGAAACTCTAAACAGAGGGGTTTTTTTTTATACACTATTAATCTGGGAACCAACTCCTAACACATTTTGTATCTATTATATTTAAACATGAATCATTTCAGTGGCACTTGGTGTCAAACACAAATACATTTAGATGTTTGTTTCATCCTGTAAATACTTTTTATTCAATAAGTTCTGGAATATTTAACATTTTATTTGCAATATTTTACCCTAGATAAGGATGTTCCATCAGCCCAACAGAGTTAATTTAACACATGTTATAGACTAACAAGCTCTACAACCCCTAATCACCACTTAACACATAATTACCAACATTTAAATATCATCAGATACAGTAGGAACACTGCAGTGCCGTCCTGACTCGGTGCAGCTAGAAGAGGCTTCAGTATTACCTTACACCTAAAATAGCCTGACATTCAAAGGTGGGAAGTAATGGAGTACAAATACTTTGTTACTGTACTTAAGTACATGTTTCTGGTATCAGTACTTTACTCCACTACTTATATTACTGACAACTTTTGACTTTGACTTCTTACATGTTGAACTCAAATACCTGTACTTTCTACTTCTTACATGTTGAACACAAATACCTGTACTTTCTACTTCTTACATGTTGAACACAAATACCTGTACTTTCTACTTCTTACATGTTGAACACAAATACCTGTACTTTCTACTTCTTACATGTTGAACACAAATACCTGTACTTTCTACTTCTTACATGTTGAACACAAATACCTGTACTTTCTACTTCTTACATGTTGAACTCAAATACCTGTACTTTCTACTTCTTACATGTTGAACCCAAATACCTGTACTTTCTACTTCTTACATGTTGAACACAAATACCTGTACTTTCTACTTCTTACATTTTCCAAACAGGCTGGTTCCTTTAGTCTGAATGTGTGTTTGGTGGCGTGATCATTATTATTTAGAGTCATTGCGTGCCTATTGATTTGAACACGATCCGTGTATCCATCATTTCCTGGTCTTCTCTAAAGAAGAGGGACCAATGAAAACGTTGTCATGTTGCCGTTGGTCACCATGGTAACATTCATTAGCTAACAATGACATTATTGTTCTATTAATATAAAGGGAGGTCAGGTACTCTTTAAAACAGCTGCTAGTTATGGGTACTTTTTACTGAAGTACATTTCAAAGCCTCTTTACTTTGACTTGAGTAAAGAAGTTTAGTCAGTACTTCTACTTTCACCAGAGTATTTTTAAACACGAGTATCTGTACTTCTACTTGAGGAAAGGACGTGTGAACTTTTGCCATCTCTGGTGACATTATGACGGCCAATAGGAACTCACCTCTGCCTAAACGCAGGTATGGTATAGCCTTGTTCTGCCATAGCCGCGGTGGCCTGGCTCTCCGAGATACAGCTGGATTGCCTGTAGGGAGGAGATACACGGTTATATATCAGCCATTTAACAAACATTCAACCGTAATTTTGATCAAAAACGTTCAGGTTTTAGTTTAGCCGAAGCAGGTTAAGATCTACCTGAGGAGTTCTTGAGTTTTAGGGAATTGTTCAGTAGCACATGAGGGCCTCCTTGTCTGTTATATATTATTGAAGGTTTTAGTTTAGCAGAAGCAGCTTAAGATATTTTGTATACTCTTGACCTTTTTTATATTACCATATTTTATTCAATGTGCTCCTTAGATAACTTTTTATTGAATTGTATTTTCTCCTCATAACATTGTGAAGCACCTTGAGATGACGTTGTTTTTAAAGTGTGCGATATAAATTAAATGTATTATTATTATTATTATAATATTACCTGAGGTGTTCTTGTATTTTAGGGAATGTTAAGTAGTTAGCTTTTTTAGCACATGAGGGCCTCCTTGTCTGTTATATATTATTGAAATGTCTTCTATGAGAGATAGACAGAATATGGTGCCAATCCATTTTAATTTCTACACCTCACTTGTGATTCTTCCTCCTCTTGAACTCATTGTTAGGAGATCACATGTCTCTCCTTTACATGGTTAAGTATCCTGTAGATCCATTATTATATGACTGTTATCTTTCTAAAGTGAAAAACACTTAAAGGAAAGACAAACTCAAACAGAAACACAACATCTGCTCAGGATAGCAACCTGAAAGTTATGCATATCTTAATGAATTCCCCTTTAACATAGCTGATATACTGATACACTGAACGCTGCAATTTAAAAGGAGCACAGCTACATCTATTGAGATACGATTGATAGTGTTGACTGTCTGGGAGAGAGATGTGGGATAATCAGGGACATAGACAAAGGTGTCAAACAAAAACCTGATATTAAGTCGATCAAATTGGTAGAAAGTTGACATTGTGTGTAAAAATGAACCATTGACACTCGTTTTTTGAATGAAAAAGTGCAAAATAAACTTGGTCCACAGTATCTAGAGATCTGACCACTGGCATCAGATGTAGGTCAGGTTATTGGGAGTGACGTGCAGACATAAGAAAGGGGAGAACTTTGTACTAAAACATCTGATGAACTACGCTTGAGGTCCAGATGAAGCCAAGTATCTAGTGACAAAAAAAAGCAGCCTTCAAGCATCAGCGTGTGACATGTCGAATAGCAGAGCTGGATTAAAAGCCATGACGGGTGAAGTGTTTCAAAAAGCAAGTAGAATAAACCCGTCCATTATGAGTAACAACACCAGACAGAAGCTGCAGAGCATCAGTAACAGTATCTGTAGACCTTCACAGCTTCTGGGTAAAAACTCCTCGGGGATCGCTTCAAACATGGACCAGGAACGCCAACACACAGCGAACGTTATTATATCCTGCAGAGCGTTTTCACTTGTTGAGTTTTGAAAAGCACCGCTTGTTGAACACACATTAAGTTAGCTTTCCGATTTCCACTTATTCAACGTTATAGGGTTATGGATGCATGTATTCCTACTGAACAGCACAAAAGGAAGTATTAACGTTTATGAAAAGTGGATTTTTCTTGCAGGAATTGGCTAACCTTAAATCTTAGGGGAGATTTTCCTTACATCATGCAATGGTCTAAGAACAGAACGTGTTGCATGACTTCGAGTCTGTAAAAACCAAATATCTAATTTGGGATATTGGGTCAATCGATCCCAACAATCTATGTTCAACACACGATGCAGTCTCTCTCTCTGTAGAAACTATTAACACTAGTGTTTTGAGTTTGAGTCATACAATAGGTGTGGTCTCTCATCTTTCCCAACTTAACACACAGATGACTCCGGTTGGCCGTGGGAGGTGATGGTAACAGCTTATTTCTGATTATACCACAAAGTCTGTTTTAAATGTGTTTAAGATTTGCAACGAATTAAAGCTCCCATCTTGGTAGCCAAATAATCACAGCTAATGGCACATAACCACAAAGTAGCTGTTTTCGTTTCCAGCCGGGTAACTATGTCTGCTTTTCAAACCCGCCATTATGTGTCCAAAATCCAATTAAGCCATCCCATTAGAAAGAAAATCAATTAAAAAAGCACCTTATTGCAATAGCTTTAGTGCCTACAAATAGGAAGTGTGCAAACAAGTCTCTGATGATATAAACTCAACAAAAGATACAAAGTAGAAGAGTCTAAGAATGAGTCTAAATTGTTTTGATGGTGGCTTTGCTCGCTGATATTTAGGAGATAGTTTGAATGTGTCTCAACGATTTTTATGAGGATACCTTGATTTAAGTATTGTGCTGTTATTGTAGGGTTCACCGTTGATGCTTTTACAACATATTTACACAATGAGACATTTGTTAACCATCATGAGTAATGTGTATTTAAATAAAACACGGGGAAAAGACAGATCATACGACTGCCTGAAGAGTCTGGTAACTCAGAAAGTTCCTCACTTCACCAGGAAAAGACAACCCAACGATATCCAAATCTAGATTTATATCACGGTATCAATATAATATCGATAATCTGCAGCTCTAGTCAAAATACTTTGGAGTTTTCGCAGTCATTATTTCTCGTCACCACGTTGTAATGAACAGCTTTAAATATGTGTCTGAAGCCAAATGGAAAGCCAAGTTAAGAAGCGGACACATGAACAGCCTGAATATGAAGCCCAGCTGTCAGCAGCGGCTCCATTATATGCAGCGAAGCAGCATGAGCGCAGCAGGTGAACGCTCCGTACCTCACTGCTGTCTGCTGCTTGGCACACACACATGAAGAGTGGTGGTAAGCATAATCAGTTTTCACTTGGCTCACAGCCTTCCCCTTCTTCTTAAACCAAGACGTGACTTTGGAAGCCATGACGGGAAAAAACTTCAAGGAGATCTGGCCATGAGCACCAAAGGGGGGGGGGAGGAAGGGGAAGGGTTGGGGGTTAAACATGTGTTAGCCATGACAGTAACAAGTATATTTAACATTATTTAAACTGCAACCCTTTAAGAAGTCTCTGTCAATCACATTATTACAAGTACAGACATTGCAGATACTGAAAGCACTTCGATATTCACAGAGTGTTGCTTCTCGTGGCATAAGATAAGATACGATAAGATAAGTTAAGATACGATAAGATGGACCTTTAGTAATCAGTAGTTTAACAGCAACAGGGTGAGATTGAATAACAGGACAGTACAGATTTACACAGATTAAAGATTAATCAAATTAAAGATCAAATCAAAGATACAATTATATACAGTTAAGTAACTTTAAAATAAGAAAGGAATTAAATGACCATACATATTTGGGTCATATACACATATTATTTATTATATCATAAAGTATAAATAACCATTCTTTAAACACTGATATTTAAAGAATACATTCATATTGCATGCATGAATTCATCGCAGAAGAAGACCAACATTTAGGAGGCATCAGGACAACATGAACCAAAGCTCAGCACTTCAAATGTTTCACCTTACAACCTCACACAGCTATGAATAGCTTGGAGCAGCCTGCCTATCCCATGATTGGAGGTATTAAGATAAAGATAAAGTAATTACCAGCAGTGCACAGACCTAATATGTGTCGTTAATAACCAGGAAAATGGATGTGAAACTGATGAGAGAACAAGCTGTCAAATCCAAACTACAGAGGAATAATGTTTCCCTTGAGAATAATCATATATTTCAACAGTAGAGCATTTTAACATGTGTTTATTTAAGCAGATACGTTGAGGGAAAAGAGGGGCAGTCACCTCCTAATGCCCTGGTATGTTAGGAAGTACTGCTCTGGGAGATTATAGCAGATTGTTTCTCACACAGGAGACAGATTATCTATGACAGCAACTCACTTCTCTTGACAGCTGATCACTTCTCCTGCTACTCTTTGCACATTTCTCTGATAAAATTAGCCAACAAAACAGCAAATATTAAGAAAAGACTTACCCCAAGAGATTAAAAGAGCGCAAAGCGGAGTTAGACCAGCCTGATGCCGCTTGGGAAGCACTTGCTGATGGCAACACAAATATTACCCTCTCACTGGAAGAATGCTGATCCCCTTCCACCCCATGTATGGACGCACTTAAGACTATATATAGCAATTACCCCCAAATGTTCTTCTCATTCTGCACTTTGGAGGTGAAGAGTGTGCATCCGTTACCTGCACTTTTATTTCATTATGTAGAGGTGTGATCGATACGCTGCCATTATTACATTTAAGGACTTATTTGTGACTTTTTAAATGAAAGGTCAGGAGAGAATAAAAGGTAAAATGCTCATGGGGGCTGGATTTTGAAAAATGAAATACTGCTTCCTCACGGCTCAACTCATTTTGGTGAAGTCCTTAAATCAATTTAAAAATGCCACATAGCCAAGCCTCCTAGAGTCGGCATGAGGATTGATTTCCTTTGCTAACGAGATTAATAAAACGCACTTCGCCTTCAGATTTTATACAAAATATTCCTTCAGCAACAAGCGAGAAAGACATTTTGATGTCATTTTGTTGGCAAGTCCCGAAGCGGAAAGCTTTGCGAGACCTTTTTAGGTTTCTGGAGACAGCCGGCCCTCCTCGTCTCGACACTTGTGGGCAGCAGTCGGGCTATTTTTACCAGCCAGTCCTCCTACACTGACACCCCCAAGTCTTACTGTACAGGAGCCATGCAGCTATTTCCATTCAGACAAGTCTATTTAAAAAGTGGCTGAAGACACACAGAGAAGCTTATGAAGCAGAGTTGATTCAAGTGGATTTAAAAAAGAGGAAACAGGCGTTGAGTTTATGGCCTTGTATTCGTTGTGGCTTCACTGAAAGGTCACCTCTGTCTAAAGGACAACTTTCCATGCAAATGTGCAGCATTTTCATTCATAAAACAAATAAATGCATTAACAAATGTAATTGTGCATCTGATTCTATAAATGTTACTCCATACAGCTTCACATTTGGGATTAAAAGATTTCACTTTTTGACGACTCCTAGTGGTGGCATCAAGAAAGACACGGTGCACCCTCATGTACTGATAGGTGTCGAAAGAACACACAGGAAGTTACATTTAAAACTGTGTAAATATGTATTTTACTTATTATATTTACCGGATTAGAGAAGAGAGGGTTTAGGAGAAGTTAAATAAAAGTTGAAACAAGTCCAAAACGCTCCAAAATTAATCTGGATATGAATAGTAATTTCATTTGTTCTTTTCAACTGATTATAGATAATTGTAGGTTAGTTGAAAGCAATAACATTAAGTTGATATAAAAACATATTATATTGCTTTCAACTGACCTAATAAAATAATGTGGAAACTGTTGACCAAATAAATTAAAGTTAGCGCTTCATATTTTTGAGTGATATTCAAAATATGCAAATATGGGAAAGAAAGACATTGTGGTGCCCACTGATGACACCATGTGTACAGTTAGCACTGGTAAAGTGGAATATGAAGACACAGGAAGTTACATTTAAACAGTGCAACCATACATTTGACTTACCATATTCACTCGTTTAGAGAAGAGAGGGTTGGAGATACTGTATATGGAAACATCTATAAGTGTGAAACAAGAAACTGTTCAAAATCAATTCGCTAATGAGTGCAAACATGAGGAAGAGACATAAGCTACGAGGTAATGTATGACTTACTGCTGGAAGTGTCCTGATGAACCGACTCCAGAGGATCATCCACCTTTAAAACCAGAGGCCTCTCCTACAGAGAAACAACATGTCTACTTTACACTCATTTCATCTCAACATGCAATAAACAACAACACAGCTGTGTGTGTTACTCTTCTTACTTTACATTACATGTCACTTGTTGGACGCTTTTATCCAAAGCGATTTACATACACAATACTGCGGGCAATCCCCACAGGAGCAATTTGGGGTGAAGTGTCTCAGGGACACAACGACATGCTGACTGCAGTGGAGTTTGAACCTGTAAGACCCCCTGAGCCGAACACAAACGCACAACCCACTGCGCCACACGCCTCCCTACTTCTTACTCTACTTTAAGTGGAGACCATGGATTACTGGAGGTTTCATTTGCTGAGTAGCACTAACTATGACCAGTAAATGGCGCATCCGGTGTAAAGTCAGTGGAGTGGCCCTTTAAATCCACTTTAGAGTTATTCTCTGTTAAACAGCGCCACCTGGTGTTGATGAGGAAAATCAGCTGATGTGGAAAAATTAATCCTCTGTTGCTTTGACATTATTTTAGTTCCTCTCTCTTACTTATGGACATAGACGAGCGTTAGACCACAATTATTATTTGGAAATGTGTGATTATGATAATAAGGAGAAAATGTCCTTACACTGTTTCCCTTAAAGCAATGCTCAAATGTTATTTACATCAGCACAATTACAAAAACTACAAAAAAACAAATAAAAAACGCCAACAAAAAATAATAATAAGACATTAAACATTTGAAAAAGTTACACATTCAAGCTTTTCCCCAAAGCAATATGCATAAAAATAATACAAGCAATGCAGTGTTTTCAATATTTTGACATTTCTAAATGTGTATTTTCAAAGCTTTGAGCACCACAAGCTAAATCCTATGTTCTCATACTGGGAGGAATATAGCAGTGTGTTTCTGTATCCTTTGACCCAGGACACGGTGACATCAATCTGAATGAAATGGCTTTAAAGGGTTCTTTAGCACCATGATTCAAAAAGTCCTAATAAAGTAGAAAATGATCTCTAAAAAACGAAACATTAGCAGCGCTTCAACAAATTGCGATGTTGAAAAGCAGCTGGTTTGTTGGATAAACAGTTCTCTCAATCTTTTGTGTGTGTGTGTGTGTGTGTGTGTGTGTGTGTGTGTGGGTGTGTGTGGGTGTGTGTGTGTGTGTGGGTGTGTGTGTCTGTGTGTGTGTGTGTGTGTGTGTGTGTGTGTGTGTGTGTGTGTGTGTGTGTGTGTGTGTGTGTTGAATTCCTCTCTCTGGCCCCTGTACACAGCATGCTTGCAGTTACAATAAAAAAATAAAGGCAGACAACAGATTAAAGGTCTTATTTTCACTTCCACACACACATTCAAAGCTCCATACCTGCTTTTAAACACATTATTTGTTATCATTTCATCAGACTTTAAAAATAATAACCACTTAAATAAATATAATAATTAAAATAATAAAAATAGCTTGATTAAATAAATCCATTTACACACACATACATATTCACACTTACACTCTTGTACACCAAAACATCCATATATTTTCAACATCCCATCAGACTTATAATTTTTCAATAGATAATAGTTAGAAAATAATTAGAAATTGTATATTTTATTTTATAAATTAAATAGTATTTAAAAAAAAGGAAACACAAGTTGTTTAGGATAATAATAATAATAATACAACTTACCCCTTCCAGAAAGGCGTGTGTGTGTGTGTGTGTGTGTGTGTGTGTGTGTTGAATTCCTCTCTCTCTGGCCCCTGCACACAGCATGTTTGCAGTGACAATAAAGGAGATTATTGGAGCATGATAACATGATGAACAGGAAGTGCCCGGTTCTGAGGGGCCTCGTCTGAGCAGAGCCACATTCTGCTGGACTGTTCGATAATATGAACGGCTGCATCTGATAACATGCGCCATGTCTGTATATTTATTTATGTATTTGTTTATTTGGCAGGGACATTGCACATTAATGAACACTTAAAACATGAAATGTGCCACGTGTAAATATGCCAGATTTAGCTTTGAGCTACTTTCCATCCTCAGTCCCGCACATAAAACATTAAGAACATGAACATTACAAACATAGCAGTACAAATACATAACATGCAAGAAAGGTGCGAGAGTAAGAGTAGAATATCCAAGTATTTAGGACATGGTACATTATAGCAGCATCGATACAGTACATACAGTGCAAGAGAAGATACCCCTGTATATTCAGCTTCTGACTCGATTAATGAAGTGAAATCCCAGTATATTGTTTTGATATTCATGGTCAAGTAAAAGTAGGATGGTTGGAAATAACTTGGTTGATACTTTGACCTTTTCTTTGAAACACTTTCAAGCCAAAACGTCACTTCAGCTCAGACACAACATCCCAAAAACGACTGGCCTGATTTCCATGAATGAACGATTCCTTATGATTTTGGTGACCCCCTTTAACTCTCTTTAGCGTCACCATTAGATAGATCAATTAATTTTACCACAAAAATGCGCTGAAACAACTGAACAAATTAATTTTTCAGAGGATAAACCTTCATTATTCGTGTGATCCGACTGTTTTTCTTGAGGTTACTTTCTATATTTTCTTTACGATTATAACTTCACTGAAATCTCTTTTTAAGATTTCCTGATTAAAGGTGAGAAACCGACTCGAGATACCCTTTTTGTTATATTCCATGGAATGCTCTTAACATCCCGGTAGCAATGAATATCTTAAAGGGGACCTATCATGCAAAATGCACTTTTGTACGTCTTTTATACATGAATATGTGTCCCCTGTGTTCCAGGGAACTCACCAAGTGTCAGAAAACACAACCCTCTCTATTTTCCTCTATACCCAAATCTCTTAAAAAGGGGCTGCAACGGATCTGATACAGACTGATCCAGATTTGAACACTTTTATGTCGTCACAGAAGTTGCGCTACGGCTATGGGGCCAACTCCACCAATCAGGAGGAGACAGCCACGGACATTGTCGTTCGAAAGCGCTGGAGACGCTGTAGTACATATTTCAGGCCACCAGATGGTGCTGTTCTCACTGAATCAGCCTGAA